ATTGAGTTTATTGGCGTCGGGAAATGAGGGGGTGTTTGGTATGGGAAATTTTCCCCTTTAATGTCTCTAAACTTTTATTCTTATAAGATTATTTACATATTTATATATATATTAATATTATAATAAATAAAGAATAAAAATAACATTTTTAATTATTATTTTCTCTAACACAATTTCAAATTTATAAAATTTTTTCCCTATCTATTTTTAAAAGAAAAAATTTCATTAAAACTATTTCTATATTGGGCTCATGTAACAACTTTCCTTGTTACCTTTCCCTATATTAATTTTTTACCAAACATAATAAACTTAATAACTCAACAAAATTCTAATAAAATTTTATTATAAAACTTAACATATTTTTTGAAAAAACTTTATAACTTTTTATACAATACTTTCTTAATAACTTTTCCAATAAAAACTCTCTTTTTTTTTTTTTTGGTAAAATGTCACTCTAAGCAAACAAGCCTTAAGTTTACACTTCACGGAAAAGTATTTTGCATCATGTCCTTTTTAGAGGATGAAAAATATTATATTTTAATTATGTAGATTATTTACGTTGATTTTTATATTAGTCTAATATATTTAAATATTTGTTGATTATACAAAATTTAATATTGTTAAATATATATTAGTAAATGCAAGTTTTTTTAATCAAATGAATATAAACATTAGATTAATTTAAAATTAAAATATATTATAAATATGAATAAAATATTTAATTTCTAAAAATATTAATTATAATGTGAGTTTTTAAGCAAATTTAATATATATATATATATATGTATTTATATAGAAGACAACATGCATTTCACTGTCACCTCACTTTATTGTGCTTGTATATGAAACTTTAGGCAGGTCTCGAAGCTACGACCTTGGAAGATTTGAAGTAACATCATTTTGGATTGAGAGAGATTTTTGCCCCATATTGAGATTATGAAAGGTATTTTGCCCAGCCTTTTCTTGCAATTGGATTGTAGCTTTCAACAAAGCATCTTGAAGAAGGAAAAAAAAGAATGGTCAATTTTACATTCTAAAAAGCATTTTGTTTTTCTTGAATTTGGACATAGGGAAGATTAATGATTTTTGTCCACAAACTTTACCCTGAAAAAATATTGCATGATATTCTGAATTTATAACATTGCCAACCAAATCCAAGACCCTAGATTTTGTGCATCATTAACAAACATTGCGTAATGACAAATTAAGGGCCCCATTAAGATTAGGAAATTTTCTTTCTTTTTTCTCTTTTTTTTTTATGGAAGTTTAGGAAGTTAAATACAGTAAAAAGCATCAAATAAGCCATGGAATTTTTTTTTTTTTTTAGAAAAAAAGGGAAAATAAGAACCGGCATGGCCTCAATTATGTTTAGGTATTTTGGGCAAAAAAAGTGGTCCAAAGCTAAACTAGCAGGCCCACAACCAGACAATCACACATATCAACAAGATTTCTTCGACTTTCCAAAAAATTAAAAAGATTTTCCATTATCACTTTAACCAACTGGGCTTGAGCCCAACTGTAGTTTGGCACAAGCACAATCAAAACCTTAACATGGAAATCATAAACATAAACCTTTTTTCGTTTTTTTTAATACACGATAAAAATATTTCGATTAAAATATAAACATAATCTAGAGAAAGCTTGAAGAAAGCTCGTCATATTCATATACGGGTGTTGAACCCATAATTATGTGGCCTTAGTCAAACATAAATATAAACTTATACTCTACTATAAAATAGTTTATTACAAAAAAAAAGTTATATATAAAATAGTTACATAATTATTAATCAAATTAAAAGTTTGGCTGAAAAAAAATTTTAATTTAAAGTTACACATTTGTAAAATATAGATAATAGTCGTTTAAAAGTTTAACTCAACTAAAAAAAAAAAATCGTAAGTGCTTTTGAAAAGGTCGTATTTCATTCAACTTTTGCTATCAAAAACATAAAAGCTGGTACGGAAGTTAAACAAACATACGTGCCTATTTGGTATTGTTTTGAAAAGATTTTTGTAGTGTAAAAGTTAAACTTATATCAAATACGGTTTCCTAAAAAGTTCTTTTTCTTAGAAATTGTTTTTAGTTTCAAAAAAGGCTAGAGCCTTCAAATCCATTGTCTCTTAAAGTAAATTTTTTACTGTTAAGTTTGTGGATTCAAAATTATTTTATTGATTTTTAGATTTCTTTTTGAATATTTTATGTAAATTCATATTTCATTTCTCTTCTAAGAAAATTTTTATATTCAAACAAAATTTTTATAAAAATTAGTCATACCAAACAAGATTTTTTTTTTTTTGGGCAAAAATTTCATTATAACTACACAACTATACTTAATATTTTACAAATGGCAAAATAAAAATAAAATCAATAAACCCATCAATATTTAATCCATCACAACATAATCAAATTAAATTATAAATTAAGAAAAAAAAATTAAAAAACACCAACATAAAGTTAACAACAACATGCAGAAGGCAAGACTCCTAATATGAATAGGAACATCAAAAAAGAAAGGGTAGCATGAATAGAAAAGCATCAATTAGAGCATATGGACTTCTAATCGCGCTTTAACTTTTTGTTAAAAAAGTTGGACCGTTAAAACAAAGGGACACATGATGATTGGAAAGAGGAAAGTCTGGTTGGAATAGTGACCAAACAGATCCCTTGATGAGGTAATTGTAGGGTCCAAGGATCTTTCTAGGATCCGGTTATGCCCCAACAATTGTAGGGTAAGTAACCATTTAGCCAACGAGGCAAATGCAAACGCAAGGGACATCCGGACAAGACTCGCAGCTCCCCACACCCACCAAGCCCCTCCATTAGGGAACATCTCCATCCCATTTCCAACACTTTCCCAATATTCTCTGCTCTCCTAAACAGACATCAAGATCATGCGTGCCCACATCCACCCTCCACCACCCAATAATCCCATTCCAATCAAACTTCCAAATCCCAATTCCCTAACCCAGTCTTCTGAACTGGAAACGTTTAAACACAATCATATACAATTAATTAGTTAATTACTATAAATTAAATATATATTATGTAATTTAAATTATTAGATGAAAAACAAATTCCTTATTCAATAATTCTTATTTCACCATTTAAATATTAAACTGTAAAACACGGAGGAATGATATAAGGATCACTAATCCAATTTTCTGACCTGGAAATCTTTATACACAATCGTATATAATCAATTAGTTAATTACTAGAAAGATTTTGTAAGTTGTAACCCACTGGTCACATATAATAAAATAAACAAAAATATTACAAAAGAACAGTTGAGGATAAGAAGGAAAAACAGGGGTGGGTTCATGCATTGTTATGCAACCAAAACCGTTAAAAAATAACGGATAATTGCGGAATTTAAGGGGAGGTTTTCCTTCTTCTTCTTCTTTTTTTCTTTATTTTTCCTAAATGGAGGGAGGTCCATCGGAGTTGGCCATTTTGAGCCGTCGGGTAGGGGAATCTAACGTTGAGGATGGGGAGCACGGTGCTGATGATGATAGAATTGACGGTGATGGTGATGGAGATGGCGATGGGGACGGGGACGGGGACGGGGACGGTTGAGATGATGACGATGACGGTGATGATGAGATCGACGGCGGTGACGAAGAGGAGGAGAGTTCGTCGCTGCTATCTCGTTGCTTTCTTTTGTTGATTCCTTCTCTGTTTCTGACTCCATCTCTGACATCCCTCGTCATGTAGTCTTTTAGCCGTTCAACATCGGACAATTTCACCGGCTTAACTATGAAATCCTCTGCTCCTTCCTCCAAACACCTGGTGATTCATGTCCAAAATTAAAAAAAAAAAAAAAAAAGTCTAAATTACGAGTTCCATCGTTTACGGACTGAAAAAGGAACTCTGTTTGCCGCAAAAAATACCTGTCGATTCGAGCTAAGACATTTTCCGATGACATGATTACCACTGGAATTTCTCTAAAAGCAGATGATTCCTGCTCAAGCACCAAAATACCAAAAACATTAACGAAATCCACAAACTAAATCCAAAATGGTAAAAGGAAGAGTTGCTTAATGAGGATTTGAATTTCTAACCTTAATTTTCTTAAGCAATTCGTAACCAGACATTCCAGGCATACAATAATCAGTTATGATAAGATCGACCTTCAAATCCTGCAGTTCGAGAATCGAGAAACTGTTCAAAATCTAAGCTAAAAGTTCTTAAAATTTTGTTAAATGTTGACTGATATTTCATCTCTACCGACCTGAAAACCGGTGTTGCTCTTTTCTTCGTCCAATCCAAGGAATTGCAGAGCTCTCCGGCCACTATCCACCGCCGTCACTGCACAGTCCAACCAAACTTCATTCAATCGGAATCCTAAAAAAGGAGAAAAGAAAAAAAGCAAAATAAAAATGTAACCGCTTCGGGCAAAACAGATCTGAGTACAAACCTTTACAAGAGGAAATTCTAAGCAACCTTTCGATAACTTTCCGATCAACGAGGCTATCATCAACTGCCAGGACATGAACCTCCTCCGAATCAGAAGGTGAGAGCTCAAATCCGTCCACCTTCTCCGTCCTCCTCCGCCACGTCGGGCCGTTCCTCGCCATCTCCGATCTCGAAAAATTCCAGCAGACGAAAGCAAAATCGAAATCAAGAACCAAAAATCCAAATCTCAGTAAATTTCTCGGAGGAGAGGCGAAAATAGAAATGAATCCTTCTCTGGCACTGCTTTTATACGGCGAAATGTAATGTCTATCTGTCCCTGTCCGTGTTTTCCATTTCATCTGCGTTAATATTTTCTTTTCTTTCACAAATCAAATCTTCTCACCCTCCTAACAAATCCCGCAACCTTTTTTTTTTTAATTAACAACGCGGGGATTCTGAAATCAACTTTTTTTTATTACCATCTTCTCCCCGAGATATCGTCTCGCGATAAAATGGTCAAAAAGTCGGGAAGCGTGCTCGGTCGGGGATAGGAGAGAAGTTGACCAGGGGTCAATGGGGAGGACCGCGCCGTCAAATCCGCATGGGGGAAATGACGGAGTCGACGGCAGAACCGGCTGTATCTAAAAGAGGTAAATATGGGATTTTAATTAACAGTACTGTGGGTGTGGGGGGTGACTGTTGTTGACTGGTGATGTTTCGACTTTCCGTAACTGTTGGGGGACGTGTACACGGCAACAGGCCAACAGCAGTGTGTGGTTTTTACTAATTTTGGAAGGGGTGGAGGGTGGTAAATTCCCCATTTAATCCCTGCTGTGTTTTTCGGTTCCGCCATCAGTGGCTTGATTTTGGATGTGCTCTATCTTGACTTTTTAACTTTGTTGAAAGTTTCAAAACTTTAGAATGAGAGTGAATATGAATGAATGTGTAAACAAAATCAACAACTAAAATTAGACCTATATTAAATAGATTTATAATAACATAATGTTATAATTATAATATTATATAAAATTTTAAATTTATTTTTTTAAAATATATTATTAAATGGATTAATATATAATATTATATTATAGATAAATTTTTAAATAAAAAATTAATTATCATAATATTTTATTATAAATTTATAATATTATATGATAATATAATTATAATAATTTTGAAAATAGATATATTTAACTTTTCTATGATACTGTTAAGAGGTTTTGTCTGTGGTGGATTGCATTAGAAGATTGATTATTCTTTTAGTAAAGATAAGATTTGATTAAATATTCTTCGTACACCTATCAATAAATTTTGTCTTTATGATCAACCTTTTTGTCTTTTCCCACTAAAAAAAAAAAACAAATCTTTTTGCCCTGAATTTATGATCAATTAAGATGTTGTTTTAAGCATTTTTAATTTTTATACATCACAAATCAAAGTTTGATTAACTAGAAGGCCACAAAAAAAATTTTCTTATTTATTATGTAAATATATATAAAATGCTTACCTTATAAACCTTTTTGTTGCATAAATAGTTTGCTTGCTTCCATATCTAGAATATGATTTGAGACAGAATTGTTCCAGACATTTTTTCCTTAAAACAAAAGAGGCATTTTGGGCAAAATTTATTAATGATGCTATTTGTTGGTTTTTTTTTTTTTTTTTTGGTTTTACTTAACCAAGATTTATAAATG